CATTTTCTTGTCAATGGAGCTGTTTTCTGCTTCCATTTTCCTATTCTAAGTTGTTTTTTCAATGGATTTGAATGTTGAGGTTTGGGGGGTTTTGGGGTGGGGTGGGGGTGTAAATTGGGTGGTTGAAGGATTGACTGTTAGGCATTGAAGTGTAATGGGGGATGTTTGTTAGGTGTCACAGGTAAAAGGAGATGCATTAATGGTATCTGTGGTCCCTGCCGATGTTGGAAAGCCAACGGTAAGATCAGAGAAGGCCACGGTTCGTGACGGGAGCTGCTATTGGGAAAATGGAGTTCTCGAAACTGTGAAATTTGTTCGAGAGCCAAAGACAGGGAAGATTCATGAGAGGATCTATAACTTTGTTGTGGGAACTGTAAGCAACATTTCTAGTTTATGGTTTTGTTATGTGAGCTACGCTGTGTGATAATTAAGCGAGTTATATGAGTTCTTTGGATGTATATTCTGTAGGGTTCTTCAAAAACTGGATTAGTTGGTGAAGCTTCGATTGATTTTTCGAGTTATGCAGATGCAACTAAGGTGTCCTTAGTGTCTCTTCCTCTCAAAAATTCAAAATCTGAAGCTGTTTTGCATGTAAGTCTTTTAACCCTCTTTTAGAGAATGTTTTAGGATTGGTATTCTGTAAATTCTTTTCGATGGTAAAACTGGTTTCCGACTGCTATTCTTAAATTATAGGTTTCAATACAAAGGATTCAAGATTCTGCTGATCAAAGGTGCTATCCGATTTCCATAAGAGTTTCATGATTTTCGTGTGTGTGTGTTTAGTTCTTGATTGCAAGTTGAATCTAATGACTAAACAAAAGTTTCCATTTTTGTGGTGTTTTTACAGTGTTGTTGAAGAAACCGAAAATGCAAAAGTTAATTCTCTGGATAGAAGCTTGAGGTCACAATTAAGCAATAGTGATTTTGAAGCAATAGTTGAAGACAATTCTATCGAGGTAAATACATAAAGACCTTAAAGATCAGTCTCTGATTTGGTCATATTTTGGAAGCATTTTGACTCTGTCCTTGACCGATAAATTTTGGGATCAGCTTCTCAAAGATTGCTATTGCACTTGGTTCTCGTGTGTGTGCGTGCACGCACACACGAACAGACACACACACACACACAAAAGAAATCGTGTATATGCTGCATATTCAATCATTCAATCAACTGTGCTTGTTCTTGGTTTTCCGATTCTTCACTGATAAGATTATGTCATTACTTGATCCTTTGTATGACAGAAACCTGCATCTCAAAATGCTGGAAAGAAAGATAACTGCCGGACATCAAGCGAATCTGATATTACCCTGTCCAGCTCCGGGAGCAGCTCAGGGCTTGATATACCTTGTGAAGTTTCATTGAAGAACAACAGGGGCCATCACGAGCAGATAAACTTCCCGTCCTCTCTGAATCATGCATTGGTTCCCTTCAAGCAAAATAGCAATGTCTCAACAACAGTTCATGAAGAAAGTCCGGATGTACAATGGGAGTGGATGGGAGGTTCTGCTTTTGAAGCAAGTACAGATGCTTCTGCAGGCACTCCGAAAGAAGCCCTTCTTCTAACATTAACATCACAAGAGGACTCAGATGTTGTTGAAAAGCTCAAAACAGATCTCATCGCTATGGCTAGGCAGGCAGACATGACAGATTTGGAACTACAGACTCTTCGGAAACAGATAGTCAGGGAGAGCAAAAGGGGAATGGACCTATCAAAAGAGGTAACTAGCTTGAAAGAGGAACGAGATGCTCTCAAGGAAGAATGCGATAAATATAAAGCCTCGCAGAGACGGATGGATGATACAAGGTCCAAAGACAAGTTGATTTACGACAATGGAGATATTCAAGCTCTTGTAGATGAGCTTAGGCAAGAGTTGAATTATCAGAAGGACCTTAATGCCAATCTTCAGATACAACTTCAGAAGACACAAGAATCAAATTCTGAACTAATTCTTGCTGTCCGTGATCTAGATGAGATGTTGGAACAGAAAAACAAAGAAATTACTAGCCTGCCGAACAAATCAACGACCTCTGATGATGCAGAAAAGTTTCCAGATGTTATCTCCAACTCCAAAAATGAAATGTCCGATGAAGATGACGAAGAGCAAAAAGCACTTGAGCTGCTTGTGAGAGAGCATACTGATGCCAAGGACACACATGTGCTAGAACAAAAAATCATGGATCTACATGGAGAAATTGAGATCTGCAGAAGAGATCGAGATGAGTTAGAGATGCAGATGGAGCAACTTGCGCTTGACTACGAGATACTGAAGCAAGAAAACCATGACATGTCGTACAAACTGGAGCAAAGTGAGCTACAGGAACAACTGAAGATGCAGTATGAATGTTCTTCTTCATATGCCACTGTAGGTCAACTGGAAGCCCAGATTGACAGCTTGGAGAATGAGCTGAAGAAGCAATCTGAAGAACTCTCCGACTCTTTAGTCACCATTAGTGAACTTGAAGTTCAAGTGAGAAACTTGGAGGAGGAACTGGAAAAGCAAGCCCAAGAATTTGAAGCTGATCTAAGTCTGCTGACTCGTGATAAAGTTGAACAGGAGCAGAGAGCGATACGAGCTGAAGAAGCCCTGAGGAAGACAAGATGGCAAAATGCTAGCACAGCAGAGCGGCTCCAGGAGGAATTTAAACGGCTCACTGTCCAAATGGCATCAACTTTTGAGGCTAATGAAAAATTGGCTAGCAAAGCAATGAATGAAGCTAACGAATTCCGCTTAAAGAAAATGCATCTTGAAAATATGCTCCGGAAATCATCTGAGGAGCTTCAGTCAACCAAAGACCATCATGAAGCAAGGATTTTTGAGCTTTCCAGTCAGGTGAGTAAAATGTCAGCTCAAATAGAAAAGTTGCAGACAGAAGTTGAAGAAAAATCTATGCAAATACAGAGACAAGAAGAGCTTGCCAAAGAAAATCACCTGTACTTGTCGCAGAAAATTATAATCCTCGAAGCCGAGATTGAAAATCTTCTAACAGACAAGAAAATATCTTCTGATCATGAAGAACAGAAGAACAGCCTGATGGCTGAGTTAGATAAAATGAGGACATCAATTAAAGACATGGAATTGCTTGTAGAACAAGGCCACAATGAAAGAAGTGAACTGGAGACTAAGCTTGCATCAGTGAGAAAAGATGCCGATGAGTCTCTTAAGGAATTAAACAAGATGAAGTCTCTTAAGGATGAGAAGGAGGCATTAGCTCGGAAACTGCAATCTGAAGTAGATAACCTTAAAACTAGGTGCAATGAAATGAAAAGGATGTTGTTTGAGGACGAGGTGGAGAAAGAAAAATTAAAAAAGCAGGTATCTCAATTGAAAGGTGATCTAAAGAAGAAAGAGGATGCATTGAATGGTTTAGATAAAAAGCTCAAGGATGCAAATAGTCGAGTAATAGCTACTAATGGAATGAAAACAATATCAAAGAACAACAAAGCCATGCCCGCATCCGCAGGCTCAAGAGAAGTTGCAAGTCTTAAAGAGAAGATAAAGTTGCTTGAGGTACACATTTACTAGCATTTACTCTAGCAGAATGTATCTCTAACTTCAGTAGGGGTTGCTATCTTCATCTTCTATTACATATTTTGTTCTTTTTATTATATACAAAGATTGTCTTTATGATATCACTGGGAAATAAACCGTGTATTGTTAACAAACTTATTGTGTTCCTTCACGCTCGAAACCTTGCATGAATTATTTTTTGAAATAGTAATAGTTAATTTTGTATAAATTTTTAATGATCAACAGGGTCAAATCAAGCGGAAGGAAAATGCACTGGAGAGCTCAACTAATTCATTTTTGGAGAAGGAGAGAGATCTTCAAGACAGAATAGAGGAGTTAGATCAAAGATTAGAAGAACTCAGTCAGAATGCTGAAAGGATCTCTGAACAAGATTCCCGAAAGGTCAGCTTCACGCTATCTAACTCGTTACTTAAGTTACTTTAGTAAATGTCAGCAGCAAGAGAGTTTATTCTTCTCTTGAGAACTTATATATTGGTGCACAAGGAAAATACATTGAGCACACAAGTATTTTTGTATGGTTATAGCTCAAGTACAGAGCAAAATTAACTCATTCAAGTTTGAATGGACAATCAAAATTTTTTAGCACATATTGAACTTTATGAAATAGCATTGAAAGTTTTTGGTTTATATATGATACAGGTAGTTGCAGAAGCTCTTAGTCCAGAAGAAGATGAAAGTCCCAATCAAATGTTGACAAGGAAGAGGTACAAGTTCTGATAATCTTAATTGATCTTTTGGCATAATGCATAAAACACACAGTCAAACTTCACCTCAGCTAGCAGGTAAACACTTCAACTTGGAGAGTTCACATCTAGACAACTCAAGTAAATACCTCAACTCGTCCCTACTGTGTCTCGTGGACATCCTACGCTGACGTGGTACATAAATATTGGAGGTGTCTAGATGATCATTTTGTAAGTTGGAATATTCCAACTGACACTGTGGAGATGAGTAATATGTCTAGATTTGCATACTCAAAGTTGGAGTGCTTACTTATCAGCGAAGGTCAAGTTTGAGTGTATATTTATGTATTATGCCTGATCTTCCTACCGTTTTCTTTCAAATCCTGCTTACTTACCAGAAAAATGAATATGTCCTATCTTTATCGTTTTTCTTATTGGAATTACATTTGTACTTGCAGCATGGAAGCCTCAGCATCTAATACAAGACATCTCGAGGAATTGTCCAGCGAAGTTGAACTATTGAAGGAAAAGAACAATGTAATGGAAGATGAACTGATGGAAATGCAAGAGAGATATTCAGAATTAAGCCTCAAGTTTGCCGAGGTAGAAGGAGAAAGACAGCAGCTAGTAATGAAATTGCGTAACGCGAAAAAGAATCCATAAGACATTTCCAGCCTCCAGGGAGGTAATGAAATCAGGTTCTTTTTCTGCCAGAATATTAAATGTGAATTGTATCAACCAAAAAATAAAATAAAAAAAAATGTATATTGGTGAGGGATTTTTTCCTTTTTTCTCATTTTCCTAAAGATATTTTGTTTCTAGCATATAGTGCTTGACTTTAGCCCTAGATATTATACAAGAATGTAAATTAGTTTACAACATATAGGTTAATATGTCTCACTTACAAGTTGTGTAAGAGTATTTTCACTTGTTAATGTCTTCTGTTTATCAAGAGTTCTTTTCTTTTTTCAGTTTCATATTTCATGCACAGAAATCTTTCATTATTTGGTAAGTTTAGAAGAAAATTTGTACTAGCTATTTGATCATTAAGAAGTTTATTGCGTAGACAGTCTACCCTAATACGAAAATTAGTGGCTTCTTCAACGGAGTGAATCTGTGACCTATAGTCACACAGAGACAACTTGACTTACCAGAATAATGCAAATAAAATAATGTTAGATGCTGCTTAAGCTTACATAAGTAGAGGTATCTGATGTGTACTGGTAGTAGGTAGCAGTCTAGCAAGTATTTGATGAAATTGTCGAGGTGCACATAAATTGGTCTTTCATTAAAAGTGATATAAACAATTAAAAGTGATATAAACAACTCATTCTTCAAGGCACAAACTATAATTAACTTCATTAATTATGAAATGGTTAGGTAGTCTATCACATCAGAGTTGTACACTTCAACTTTAATCACAAGATTTACATCTAAACAACTCATTCCTCAAGGTACAAATTATAATAACTTCTCTTTTCCCTGTTTCCAAGAACTAAGGGAAGATAGTGATTACAATTATTATTCTTCCATTAGAAAAAGGTAACTAGGAAGAAACTTATATTAGTACTACTAATTAACAAGTACTAATCAAATTTTGTGATGGATTAGACCACAAACAGTGACAAGAGCCATAATTAATGATTGATCCACATGAGGTTCCACCATCAATGTCAATACATCATCTCCCAATAATACTCCTGAATTTGCTTGTTTTTGTTTTACCTGAAAATAAACATAAATTCACTAACCCTATTAGTACTCATATGCACATGTTATTTGTCTTGTTTCGAGATTACAAACAATTACATCTGACAGATTATTTACCTCTGCGACAAGTCGGCCATGTTGGTTCACAATCTTGATAGATTTTGTGGCAAGAATAATGTTATAACAAGTTGCTTCAGAATTACATCCCAATATAACACTATAACAGTTCACATTTTCTCCTCTAAGAACATTATGGATTTTCTTCACTTGAAACCATGGCATTTCTTTACTAGTAATTCCATCATAACTCCATTTATAGCCATCCCAATGTCCAAATACCGGAACTTTCTGCGGAAAAATAATGATAATAATAATACATCAGTATCGTTGAAAATATAATTAAGTAAATAAACAGGTGAAGGGTACTTAGAACTTACCCTATTTCGAATCGAGAAGAGAACTTTGCCATTGCGATCCATAAGATGAACTTCTTTGCTACGTTTACTATTGTAATTGTCAATTCTATAAACAATATTTCCATTTGAGTCATAAACAGTACATCCATTTCCATGGTAGACTAGAGATTTCATCCACAAAGTGAATGTTTCTCTTCTTGGACTCACATAAAAGTTAGATGGAATAATAGAAGAAAAAGATGATGAAGAAGTTGTACTTAGATAATTTGACTTGTTTGGGTGAACTTTAGCCATTGAAATATTAATATGCTTAATTTCGAGGAGTTGGAAATATTTTGAGATGAAAGAGCACAATATATATATATACACACACTTGTGGAGGTAGGTTGTGGCAAAGATAAAAGGCGTTAGTGGACCGACAAAGAAATAAAGGAATCAACAAAGGGAATATGTACTACTAAAGTTCTCCACTTTCTTAGTTACTTCCTTCTGGCTAGTGTTTACTAACATAGGTCGATCAGAAGAGTTGTTTGGATGATAAGAATCTCCATTTTTAATTGGAAAATTATGTGTTCGATATTTATCAATATATATATATATATAAAATTTCAAAATGTATTCGTTAAGAACGTCTTGAATATATATAATTTTTTGATAAAATATCGTATTTTTATTAATATTTTAAATTTAACGTACGTTGATAATTGACCGCTAGAGGGTTGATCATGTCATCCCAATTTTTAGATTCCTTATTAGAAAAGGATAGAGAGAAGGGAATATATGCAAAAGTCAATTTGTGAAACACATAGTATACATTTGTGTTAGTGCTATTTGCTGTGTTGCACTTAATTGAAGTGGTAGTTTTCTTTTTTGCTAATAACATAAATTACTAACCGCTTAAAAAAATAGAATTATTTATTTTAGATGCTTATACTTTTTTCAAAAGTATTGGGAATTCTTAGCATTTTCTAGCTGTAGATTGTGACGGTAAGTCGATGAGGACGGATCAAAGAGAAGAATTATGTAGAACTCGACTTTAGTATATCCCTTAGGTATTTTGATAGGTTGGATCGGACCGATCTAACATGATTAGGTTGTGGAATGGTTAACCATGTGGGCTTGGTGGATCGGCCCATCATTTTAATTTTTTTATTGGAACATAAATATTTATAATATAATATTATATATTATATACTGTTTAATCAAGTACTCTAATTTTTTTATAAATAAAGAGAGGGAAGATAGTTTCCTAATTTTTAAGGGCTGAGAAATATTGGGCTGACAAATAGTCCAAATTGATTTATGAGTAATTTAATATTTATATTAATAAATTTTTTCTTAAATACATTGTTTACAAAGTATTGATAAAAGAGTGGAAGGTGTATAAATATTCGGAATATTTGATTTAATTGACCCTTTCTCCTTCATTATTTATGTTTAGTTTAGTACTAGTAGAATCACAATTTAAAACAAAATTAAGGAAATATATCGAAGACTTCAAAAGAAGTCAAAAGATGCTACTCCATTTATAATTGCTAAATATGTTATTATTGTACCAAACAAATATTTCTAGATCATTTTTCTTTTTACCGTTGACACCCAATTTTGACCCGCGACGGTATAAATTAGTTTTCGAGCATCTTAAATTTCCAAACAAAGTTAAAATAATTAGTTTTAAGGAAAATATATAAAGTTCGCGTTATTTTGAGTAATTTTGTCATTTCTTATAACCTTTAGATAATATATATATATTATATTATAAATATTTCCATTTATAATTTGTATATTTTACGATTATTCAAAAAAAAAATCATCTCAAAATATCTTAAGTTTAGAAAGTATTATGTTAAACTGGTTATATTTCGAATCACTATTTTACAATCTAAATAATTATATTACTAAATAAACAAGCTCGTCAAAAAATTTATACCAAATTCATTTTATTTTAAATCAATTGACTATTTATTAATTTTAACTCATTTGGGCCCCTTTGTTTTTACTCCTTATTTTCAGCCCCAAATTGATTGCCAGCCCACTCCATCGGCCCAATTCCCCTCAACCCAAGTCCATTTTTTCCCCCTTTAATTTCAATCCAATCCAATTCCCTCTCGTCTCTCCCTCACGCGTCTCTCATCGCGCGTGATGGAGGATTTAGCAACGGACACCTGCTGTTTCTTGTCGTTTCTCCTCTCACTCGTTTCGAATTCAAAATGGGGGATGGAATATCGATATTACCCCCAAGTCTTTCCAGGATTTCCCCCCGCTCTCCATCCGTCAAATGGCTATATATATTGCCAATCACTCACAAAAAAAAAAAAGATTTTGGTTGAAAATTTCAGAGAGGAGGATTGTGAGTGTTTAAAAATTTGGAGGTTAGCGATTTTTGCTTAGCTGATTCTGTGATGGCTATTATGAAGATTAAAGTTCCTTATTTTGGCTGAACTGTGTCTTGGCTTACTTAGTTTTGAATATGATTTGCCTGTATACACTGATATACACAGACATTATACCTTAAATAGGTGTGAAAATATGAATGGCAGCAGGCATGCAAAAATTCGATCGAAGGAGCTTGAGGAAGGCGTATTAGAAGATTTTTTTTATTTATTTATTAAGTTGTATTTATTTTGGGCATAAGCCCTTGTCATTTTTACTTTCCTTGTATTTATTCTTGTATGTTTAGACTAGGACAGGTACGAAAGAAAGAAAAAATGGGTTAAAAAACCCGAAAGCAGGTGGGTCCAAGTTTCGGTCAAGGCGAACAGAACCCGAAAACTTGGACCCAAATCTCTCTCTCCATCCCTCTTTGCTATTTGTTTACGTTTTGTTTAAATGTCGTTAGTTTAGGATTAGAAACTCCAAACCCCATCGAACGCCTTTTACTTTATCGAACTTAAAACGTAAAATTGAACTTTAAAGCGATAGGTGTTTAAATTTGAAGTTTGCTTAGAGTTAAGATTTAAAAAGTTTAACTTTAACAAGAATCTTAAAATAATAATATTTTGTAAGCTTGTTCAAATTTAAGAAATCTAACTTTTTTTAAAAAATTCGCAAAGTCTAAATAATAGTCAAATTGTTAATCGCCGGAAAACCGTATTAAGCGGAGCGTCTTAGGTGCCTACACCTTCCTAAGACACTAATAAAAATCCCGAACCCCCTAAAAATAGTTTCAAAACAATTTTTCTGTTTAAGTTGTTTAGAAACAGAGTTTTCTTGATTTTTTTTAAAAATTAAGTGGCGACTTCTTAAAAGTCGAAAATAATCTTCAAAATAAAACAAACTCTTTTCAAAAATCATAACTTTTTCAATAAAACAACCATAATTTTTTGTCATTAAGATTATTCGATACGAAATAAAGAGTGCAATTTCAAACATTTCTTTTTATGTGAAGTTTAGATCATATATAACTAATTTCAAATAATTTTCAATTTTTCCTATCGTTTTAAATAACATTAACATTGAAATTCATTTTTTTAATATATATTTATAATCAATACCCATTATTCTATATAATGGTGATTTTATGGAGAATTACAAAAAGAATTGAAAAATATAGCTATATCTTTAATTGACACTTACTATATCAATAATGATTTTTAGCGGTAATAATTTAAATATTACTATTAAATTATATTTTTAGCGGCAATTAACATTCTTTATATATGTACCTAATGTTGAAGAAGAAGGAAGCTGACAATTGGAATATGTCCAACAAAACTGACTGACATGATGTAGAATTTGCGCACACGTTCAGAAAATAAAAGTACATGAAAATTGAAATGTTAGAGAAAAATACGTGAATATATTAGGAGAGATAACAACGGGAACGAAGATATTTGGGACAAGATTTGTATGAACTCTATGATAAATAAAATAAGTGAAACAAAATTGAGATGGTTCAGACATGTGATGACGAGGAGATGATCAGATTGGAGTGAGGAGTTGTAATTGGTTGCTTTTGGTGGGTTTGAGGAAAGGCAGATGTAGGCCAAAAAAGCATTAGGAAAAAGTGATTAGACATACTTAAAATACTTGTAACTTACCTAGGAGACGAGGACACGACTCAAGATAGGAGGATGTGAAGATCAACGAGTTACAGTAAAAGATTATTAGGTAGTCACAGCGTCTAGTTTCCTTTATTAGTGGTACTTGTATTTTTTTCTCTTACTTTTTTTGATATATATATCATGTTATTTTCTTTGCTTAGATTATCTATTATATGTTGGCGTTACTTGGTATTCTCTCTAATTTTTTTTAATTATATTTTCTTTATTATATCCGAGAGTTTAACTAACATATATAAATTCTCTCTATTTTCATAAGACAGGAATAAGGCTGCATACACATCACCCTTCCCAAGATTTATTTATAAAGTTAGACTAAATATATTATTATTGTTGTCACAAAAATTTATTTATAAAGTTACACTAAATATATTATTATTGTTATCACATAAACGTACATATTTAATTTGTAGGATACCAGTTTAATCTAGAAAAAAATAGATATATTCATATAACTATGTGAATTTTGTGATAAATCGTTTATAATATTTTTTTTCCGCAACTAATTTCTTATTTTCTAGCAGCGATCAAGCTTTCTTGAGTAGAGCTATTATATAATATTTGTGTTGATGAAATAGTTTGAAATACGTACAAACTAGTCTATTCTATTAGATTGTACACATTAGTACTCAAACCTCAAGGTAGTACAAACCATAATAAATTTCTATTTCCCCTATTTTCAAGAACAAAGGGTAGATAGAGATTACAATTATTTATTCCAAATAGAAAAAGGTACTAATTACTATTAATTGATACCACTAATTATCAAATTCTATGATGGATTAAACCACAAACAGTTACAAGAGCCATAGCTAATGATTGATCCACATGAGGTTCCACCACCAATGTTAATACATCATCTCCAAATAATACTCCTGAACTTGCTTGTTTTTGTTTTACCTAAAAATAAATACAAAGTTAGTGAACATTTTTTAACTTAATATACATGAGTATATTAGTTAATACTAATCCATTCAATTACGAATTTAACTACATGCAGCTATCTTTTAACTGATTTGACAGATTAATTACCTCTGCGACAAGTCCACCGTGTTGATCCACAATCTTGATAGATTTTGTGGCAAGGATAATGTTATAACAAGTTGCTTCAGAATTACATCCCAATATAACACTATAATAGTTCACATTTTCTCCTCTAAGAACATTGTGAATTTTCTTCACTTGAAACCATGGTTTTTCTTTACTAGTAATTCCATCATAACTCCATTTATAGCCATCCCAATGTCCAAATACCGGAACTTTCTGCGGAAAATAATAATAATAATAACAAATCAGTATCGTTGAAAATATAATTAAGTAAATAAGCGGGTGAAAAG